TCCTTCTCCTCTCCCTCCCCGTCACATCCTCTCCACTCCTCTCATTACTCTCTCTCTCTCTCGCTTCCCTCCATGCCCCTCTCTCTTTCTGTCACCCCTCTCCCCCTCTCCCTCCTCTTCCTCCCTCTCTCTCTGTTCTCCTGGTGTCAGTGAGGTGAGGTGAGACCGGAGTGAAGGTGAGAATGACACTCTGAGCACACGGCGGCTGCACACAAAAAGAGACACATTTATCAGCACAAACAAACCAAGAGAGAGAGAGGGAGAGAGACAGAGAAAGAGAGACAGAAAGAGAGAAAGGGAGAAAGAGAAAAAGAGAGAAAGAGAGAATATAACCCAGAAACCTGCTTCTGTGTGAGACTTTAACATGTTTACTCTAGGGTGTGGGGGATGAACTAAACCTGGACTAAACTAGGACTAAACCAGAAAAAATCCATGATTAAACCAGGCCTAAACTAGGATTAAACAATGACTAAACCAGAATTAAACCAGGATTAAACCAGGACTAAACTAACAACGACTGAACCAGGATTAAACCAGGATTTAATCAGGCCTAAACTAGGATTAAACAATGACTAAACCAGGACTAAACCAGGCCTAAACTAGGATTAAACAATGACTAAACCAGGACTAAACCAGGCCTAAACTAGGATTAAACAATGACTAAACCAGAATTAAACCAGGAATAAATCGGGCCTAAACTAGGATTAAACAATTACTAAATCAGATTTAAACCAGGCCTAAACTAGAATAAAACAACGACTAAACCAAGATTAAACCAGGACTAAACCAGGACTAAACTAACAACGACTGAAAAAGGATTAAACCAGGATTAAACCAGGTCTAAACCAGGATAAAATCATAACTAAACCAGGCCTAAACTAGGACAAAACCAAGACTAAACCAGGTTTAAACTAGGATTAAATAACGACTAAACCAGGACTAAACCAGGACTAAACTAGACCTAAACTAGGATTAAACAATTTACTAAACCAGGACTAAACCTGGACTAATCCTGGTCTAAACCAGGACTAAACCAGGCCTAAACTAGGATTAAACAACAACTAAACCAGGATTAAACCAGGACTAAACCAGGACTAAACTAGGACTAAACCAAGACTAAACCAGGCCTAAATTAGGACTAAACACAAACTAATTCAAGACTAAACCAGGTCTAAACTAGGATTAAACAACAACTAAACCAGGACGAAACCAAGACTAAACCAGGACTAAACTAGGACTAAACACGCACTAATCCAGGACTGAACCAGGACTGAACCAAGACTAAGGCCAAACCAAGTTTACTCCTGTGACCAGAAGAATAATCAAGGCCTAAACACCACATCATTACTCAGTGAGAAAAATCTGCAATGGGAGCTCAGTACAAACTATATACAGAGTTTTATCTCGCTCTTATTATAAAATCATCTTTGGACAATACATCATTTGTTTACTAATCATCATTTAAATATGACCTACAGTTGTGTTAATGACTTTTATGATGATCAAGCAGCCCTGAATGAAAAATGTGTCTTTATTTCCCCAGAGATAATGGGAGCAGATGGACCCAGCCCATCCCAGAGAGTGATAATAAAAGTGCAGTTTGGAGCTAAAACGAGGACATAGGTTTGAACATGAATCACTTCGAGGATTAGGCCCATTCAGGAGATGCTTAAGCTGCTGATGAGGCACTGCAGCACGGACCTGCTCCAGCCCACAGCTCTCCTCCAACCAACATCTCTCTGGAGTCTGGAGCATTTGCGATTTTGCGGAAATTGTCATAAATTTACATGTGAATACACTTTTTTGATGAGGGCGCATTTTTAAACAATGATACTTAACGTTAAGGAGGAGAAGAATTTTAAGACGTTTTGCAAATGAGAATCCAGTAGCATCTATGTAATAATGAGGATGTTGTTTTGTATCCAGATTAGCAGGTGAAACGGCCAAGTTTACAGGTTCTGTCGAGAGTAGAATGTGTGTTTTTCAGTGAAGTTTTTCAGAATAAAAATTGCTGTTGGGTGCTGATGTTTACTGGTGGGTGCGCTTGGTTTATTCGCTGCCACAGGCCTGACATTCATTGTGTTTTGTGGGGCATGAAGTGAGTTGTTTCTGTTATCTAATGCAGTCTGTTTAAATTTCGTTGGTGCTGGTGGTTGCTGGTGTTGGTGGGTTCTGCTGGTGGGTGCTGGTGGGTGCTGGTGGGTGCTGTAGGTTTCTGGTAGGTCCTGGTTGGGCCTGGTGGGTGCTGTTGGGTTCTGCAGGTTTCTGGTAGGTGCTGGTCGGTGCTGCTGGTTTCTGGTGGATGCTGGTGGGCTCCGGTGAGTCCTGGTTGGTGCTGCAGGTTTCTGGTGGGTGGTGGCAGTTGCTGGTATTGCTGTTGGGTGCTGTTGGGTGCTGTTGGGTGCTGCAGGTTTCTGGTAGGTCCTAGAAGGTGCTAGTGGTTGCCGGTGTTTGTTGGTGGGTGCTGCTGGTTTGTGGTAGGTCCTGGTAGGTGTTAGTGGTTGCTGGTGTTTGCTGGTGGGTGCTACAGATTTCTGGTGGGTGCTGGTGTTTGCTGTTTGGTGCTGGTGGGCTCTGGTGGGTGCTGGTTTCTAGTAGATGCTGGTGGGTGCTGTAGGTTTTTGGTAGGTCCTGGTTGGACCAGGTGGGTGCTGTTGGATGTTGCAGGTTTCTGGTAGGTGCTGGTGGTTGGTGGTGTTTGCTGGTGTTTGCTGTTTGGTGCTGGTGGGTTCTGGTGGGTGCTGTAGGATTCTGTTAGGTCCTGGTTTTGCCTGGTGGGTGCTGTTGGGTGCTGCAGGTTTCTGGTAGGTGCTGGTGGTTGGTGGTGTTTGCTGTTGGGTGCTGGTGGGTTCTGGTGGGTGCTGGTGGTTTCTAGTTGGTCCTGGTTGGGCTTGGTGGGTGCTGTTGGTTACTGCTGGTTTCTAGTAGGTGCTAATGGTTGTCGGTGTTTGCTGTTGGGTGCTGCTGGTTTTTAGTAGGTCCTGGTTGGTCCTGGTTGATCCTGGTGGGTGCTGTTGGGTGCTGGTGGTTGCTGGAGTTTGCTGTTGGGTGCTGGTGGGCTCTGGTGGGTGCTGCAGGCTTCTGGTAGGTGCTGGTGGGTGCTGTAGTTTTATGGTAGGTCTTGGTTGGGTCTGGTGGGTGCTGGTAGGTCCTTGTTGGGCCTGATGGGTGCTGGTAGGTCCTTGTTGGGCCTGATGGGTGCTGGTAGGTCCTTGTTGGGCCTGGTGGGTGCTGCTAGGTCCTGGTGGATGCGCTTGGTTTATTCGCTGCCACAGGCCAGACATTGATTGTGTTTTGTGGGGCGTGCAGTCAGTTAATGTCTGTGTTATAATCTGATGCAGTCTGTTCAGATTTCATTAGACAGGCACATGACATATTGACATTGAGAGCTGCTGCGTCTCTGTGCACCAGGACATTTACTTTACTTTATCTTGTGCCAATAAACTACTGCTCTTACACTCTAGCCCACAACACTACACAACACTGTCTTTGGTTTTGCGTGCAAGAAACATGTCAACAAGATCTGCAAACTGAAGGAATTTAAACTAAGCTCAAAACTATATATGCCACACTCAGCATGATCAGTGAAGGAAATTTGAGCACTGAAATGATGGAGTATGTTCACTTTAAAGGTCCTATATTACCCACATTTGACTCTTGTGAACTTTAAAACATGTTAGAATCGTGTTACCTCCTCAAAAACATACCTGGAGTGGAGTGTTTTGTTTCATTCATTTGACTAACCATTTATTATTATTATTATTGTTAATCTGTGGAATCAATTTTGAGTCATATAGTTCAAAGAACACTTGTAAAACATCAAGCAAAAAATTATATATCAAAATACCAAATAAATAAATCAATAAATGAAATTGTAATAATAAAATACATAAGATTGCAATCAAATTATTTCTGTAAACATCTGAAATATCCATCTTTGCCTCTTTTATTTTTGTTCCACGTCTGCTTCAGTTTTGCTTGAGGCACTCCCTGACTTTTTGCTTGCAGTATTGTCTGTCAGACATAAATTAACTAATGGGAATGCACCCATGGAAGTCCCACCCTCCTGCCACGTCTGTGCCAAAACTGCAACCACAAAGTCAGAGAGAGCAAATGAGAAAGCTGAAATCATAACCAAAGAAAATGGGACAAAAGAAAACTGAGAAAGACACGGAACAAAATAAAATGTTTCCAAAGAGGCAAAGACAGATATTTTAGATTACACAAATAATCTGATTACAAATGTGTTTATTTTATTTCACTTTTTTGTTTGATCTTTTTTATTTGGTATTTTGATTTATACTGGTTTGCTTGATGTTTTCAAAAGCATTCTTTGAACTATTTGACTCAAAATTTATTCCATATAAGTCACAAAGCTCCAAATGCTCTGTTCCACTTTGGGATATCATGTAGCTGTAGCTTTTCCTGTATCACCACATGACATCACAAGGTGTTTCAGAGTGTTTTTAGTTTGAGAGGAGAACTGTAAGACACTAAATATATTGGATTTGTCTGTCAAACATGTGTTAATGAAACAAAACACAACTCCAGGTATTATGAGATGAGGAAACATTATATCAGTACAGTCCCTCTAAACATGGACTAAACCTGGAACTAAACCAAGACTAGAACAGGACCAAACCAAGTCTACATCAGGACTAAACTGGGCTCAAACCAGAACCAAACCAGGACAAGTCTGATTTGGATCACTGAAACATGAGTGAATCAAAAATGATTTCCAGGAATATATGATGAGGGAACAACATTAGAGTGTAGAGTTTTACAATCTATTTCCATCCACTTGTGCTCTGAATGACCAGTAGCTGTAGTGAAATGTGAGCATTTCTATACTAATCTCAACTAATTTACAGACACAATTAGAAATTTTTTTAATGGATTGAATCTGATTATTGTTACTGGGAATATAATCTAAAATATACAGACTTCTTGTCAGTGTGCCCCACCCGTTGAGTATAATAGAGAAAGTTAAAGTACTGTACCAGTCCTGCACGGCTCCAAAGGACTCCTCGTTGGTGATGTCGTACATGAGGATGAAGCCCATGGCGCCGCGGTAATACGCCGTGGTGATGGTGCGGTAACGCTCCTGCCCCGCTGTGTCCTGCACACAAAACACATGAATGCACTTTGATTCACACGTCTTTACAAATAATATCAAATGCTCAATTTATAGAACAGAAATTCAGTGATAAAATGAATTGAATGCTGAGGAATATTCCACAGTATTTGTGGTGGTTGCCATTGTTGTGGTTGACTGCTCTTGTGGCTGACTGGTTGGCAAAGTGACCAATTTTTAAACTTTTATATTTTTTATTTTAAATTTTGTACTTATTTTTTAGGATTTAGATGAACTAAGAAGTGCAGCTTGTGCAGTTCAAAAGACAGAAGTTAAGGACTGTGTGATTTCAGCATTTTCTTTTTTCCTGTATGCATGGTGACATGGAGCCACCTATGCTAAACATCTAACTCTGAAATGCCTGATTTTTTACACCAGATATGGCAGAAGACCAGATCTTCCAGAGGAAACACTCTCATCACCAACTGAAACAACAGTGTGAAGTGAGAGAGTGAGGCTTAAAAGTGTCTAGGCTGCTGTGATACTTGGACTAAAGAACAGAGAAGAGGGACACTTTTGTCCTGAGGGCTGCTGTTTTCCCTAAACTGACACTGGATCTGATGACCTGCTAAAGTGAGGTTTTCTATTATTATTGTATTTTACTGCTCAATGTCCTGAATTTCTTAGTGCCTCCGCTCAATTTCATTTCTTTCCAGCAACTAGTTCAGGAATTGGAATACACTAGATGTAGACAAAGCCATACATTCTGTGTTGGCAACAATTCTCGAGATCAAGGATTTAAAGCTGGAACGAGGAGAATGTTTGGTGAATTTTACCAAGGCGAAAGACGTTATTGCCCTTCTTCCTATGGGATTTGGTGCATTACATATGTCACGACCAAGTAGCAGCGATTGGTTAAATAAAAAAAAGTACCCGCCTACCATCAAGCGAACAAATCCTAATGCTACAAGGTCAGATAGTTTCCACCAAGTGAAACTGGCTGATGAATCAGGCGCATGAACAAATAAAGTGATATTGATCGACTGATTGGTATTAAACCTATATCTATCTTGCATATATTCAAATACAGTTTTTATTCTTAACTTCTTAAAATATTCATGCCTTCTTAGTATGCGCAAGCTTGCCAAGTCTCCACAGATCTGACCATCTTGGTGCTGTCTGCTTGTCTCCATGGAGATAGAAGTTTAACGCCATATTGGGTAACATTTCAGGCAAAGCAATTACATCCCCATGGAGATAACCAGATGGTGGACTCCCAACGTGAGCCCTGCACTTTGCTCTATAAAGCAAATCTGGTAATTCAAATCCTTTTCCAGGCTTCCATGTTCCAATCCACACAACATTATTTTCAGCAATAAAATCTGTAGAAAGTATTTACAAAAATAAAACTCCAGTTCTTGCTCTTAATAGCTGGTGGATTTTTTTCTACATGTGTGAATGATAAAAGCCAATACTACGCTATTTTCTGCTCCGATATAATGTTGTTTATGTATCAAAACATACCTGGAGTTGTGTTTTGTTTCATTATAACATGGCTTAAAGCTTTCCAGAATCCATTTTGTGTAACATAGGACTTTTAAACCTCGCACAAACGTTGATTCATCTCACTATTGTCACAAACATTAGCACATTTCTGTAATAACGATTAGACATCCCGTAATGATAACGCATGTCCGAGTGGAGAATCCATTGTGTGAGTATAATCATTGGACTCTCTGTCTCACTGCCTCTGCATTGACATAACGCCAAATTTTGTGTCTGTTTTATCTGATGGCTTCGATCGTCTCCTCACCTCATTACATTAATCACTCAGCCAGAATAAACACAAGCTGATGTGCATTCAAAAACCCGTGCCATATTTGAAAACAGAGTATACACAAGCATATATACTGATACTTTGCAGCTGACGTTATCAACATTATTTGGTGGGTGAGCCCTAACTAGAGGCGCTGCTCTGTCTGAAGCTTTGTTAGACTTGAATCTGAGCTTTATTTTAACACAATCTGCCCAGAAAAAGTTCACTACAACAGGTCACTGGCACCTGTAGAAAATCAAACACTTAAACAGAAACATGAACGCTTGTTTTAATCACAGGCTCCTAAAAATCTGTTGTATAAATCCTTTTTGTATTATTTTCAGAGCGTCTTAAAGCTTTTCTGACTGCGTTTACTAATGTGTGTGTTGTGTCTCCATGGCAACTGCTGAACATCCCACCAAGAGAGACACATGTAGAACACCCCCAGCGTGATGGCATCGCAAAGTATCAATAGGGAGATTGCCTGAAGTAATAGTTGATTAATCGGTGATTTGTGCCTTTGATGACCCATTTTTTTCCCAAACAAATTTAGCAGTACTTTTCTTGCCAGTGCACATTGGGTCACACTGGGCTACGGGGGCGGACTGGCAATCTGTGTGTTTTGGAAAAGTCCAGAATGGCTGTCCGACAGTGGGACTGATTGGGGCCTCAAATTTTCCGTGGGCCAATTTGTGGGGGAAAAGTCCAGGGCCATTTTTTGGTCTCACTTCACCTCTGCTGGTCTACGATAGTGGGCATAAGCACTTATAAACTCAATGTGGTGAGTATTTAGGATGCTCTGAACGCATAAGGTAAGCAAGGAATAATTTTGGACAACTATAAACTGTTTAAGAATGAACTAGTTCTGACAGTAAAAATCAGGATCAAGATCTAGCGAAGTTTAAATGACTTAATTAAGAACATCTGAGTAGATTCAACTTGTCAAGTAAAATACCTACCAATGCAATAGGTTCTATTGGTCTAGTGACTTGTAAATGAAGAAAACTGGGCCATTTTCTCATTTTTCCTAGAACAGAGCCAACCGGAAGTTGTAATCTCATTTTTCCAAACGTCTCCCTGGTTTGTGACGTAAGCGTGAACAGAGCCTATAAGTGCCTATAAGGGTTTTTTTTTTTTTTAATTCAAGCAATATTAGATTTTGTTTCTTATTTGAAGTGCAAAGAGTTGTTGTTTTTCTCATCTTAAGTGTAGCAAGATGCATTTTCTTCTTGAGTTCTTTTTAAAGACAACAGAGTAAAGTGTATTGACCTCGTTGACATGTTTCGGCTGTTGCTGCAAGCCATCTTCAGAACTGTCCCCGGTGTTGGTGTACTCAGCCTGATGGACCTGCAGATCGCTCAGACTGACCACGCCTCCTGTCGCCCTAAGTTCTCTGGAGGAGGGCGTCCCAGGTGTGTGAAAGGAGGAACGCTCCATCATCACGGTTAACGCTGCCCGTGCCTCTTTTCCAGGTTTCACTGTCCTCCTTGAACCAGAGTTTGAATTTGTTGTTTTCCGAGCCCCATCCCAATCCATAATGTAGTTATTTCTTTTACAGTGCTCTGATATTTTAGGTTTTCCTGTTCTGCTTTGTCTACACGGCTGATACACAACACGTCACCACCAACACCAGTGACAGTTCTGAAGATGGTTTGCAGCTAACAGCCAAAACATGTCAACAAGGTAAATACACTTCACTGTCTAGTCTTTAAAAAGGAACCCAAGAAGTTAAAGTACATAAGAAGATAAAACAAACATCTTTAACTTAAGATGCATTTTCATTTTTAAGTTCAAAAAGTCTTCCATTGTCAGATAATTTTACTTGTCAAGTGAAATTTACTCAAATCGTGATAAAACTTTCTTAATTCAAGTCTTCTTAACATGGTTAGATTTAAATTTTTGCAGTCCACATACACAGTTGGTTAGGTTAGGTATTTGCATTTTGTAGTTGAAAAAAACATTCAAAAAGCTGAAACATTATTCATTTTTTATATTTATTACCTTACATTTCTGATGGGTCATAAAAAACCTGTATGATTATTATTGTTATTGTGAAAATCCAAATTATGTAATCATTTCTGTTCAGATACTGATAACAGATTTCGAGTAGAGTCAGACTTATTATGCAAAACCCCAACACATTTTAACAGTTTCTCACAATCCAAGAGTTGCATAATGTCTGAATAAATCCTTGTATATTTTGTCCCGCCCACGGCCGTGTGTTTGGTACGTCTGGGGAGGCTCTGGCTGCTCCACTTGGCGATGACGAAAACGAGGAATCGGACCGGTTTGTCATGACCCACAATGCATCTCTCCCTGTGTGTCCTCTGCGCATATTATTCGTTATAACACTGGTTTCATCTGCCAGGGGAAACAGATGACCTTCAGACCACAGAACCAAGCTCCACGCGTGCCAAAACCCCACCACACGACCGACATTAGCACACAATAACATCACAGCTATTATGCAAAGCCCTTTATCCCATTTCGTGTTGACAGCTTTTGTTCGGTTAATTATTATGTGCGAGGTTTGAGAGGCATTTTGCTGTCATGTTTTGTCTCTAATCTTGACAGTGACCTTTAAATTCTCGAGCTGCTTCCAACTAGCTCAATTAAAACAAAGACGAAGAAGAAAAGTGCTGAGTACCAGACTGTTCTGAGAGCATTTGGCGAGGTCTGTGAGCTTAAGAAATCAATTCAAGAAGTGAAGTCTCCAGAATATTAGAATAAAGTGTCTTAAAACTAAAGAAGGTTAAAACACTGCAAAAACTAAAATCTAGCCAAGTTAATTAAGAACATTTGATCAAGATTTGAGTAAATTTGACTTTACAAGTAAAATTATCTACCAAGACTTTTGTACTTAAAATATGAAAATGCATCTTGCTGCATTTAAGGTAAGAAAAAAATATTAAATATTGTTTTTACATCATAGTGCACTGTATAACTTTTCTGCATGGTAAACCATTGTTTCTCAAAGACTGGGTTACGACACTCAGGTGGGTCGCAAGAGATTTTTTTTGGGTCGCCTTGTCACGATCTGCATGTAGGTCTGCAATATACAGTCCTGCCAAAAATCTAAAGAAATATTACATCTTTGAAGTCCAGTCTTCAACAGTTCATAGACACTCAAACATCTTGCTGCTTTTTGAAGAAGAATCTTATTTGTCAGGTGTTAGATAACAAAAAGGTTCGGCGGAGGTTCAGGGTGAGTAACTATCAGACCACGACA